GTGCGAACATCTTCTGGAGCATAGCGAGCTAAACGGTTGAAATCATGGAGATACTCAGTAACCGAACGAGATCCCTGGTTGAGTGCTCTAAATTCTCTCTTCTTTAGAGCTACAACACCTGACGGTATATGCGTCTTCTTAAAAGCAGCCGTGAACTCCTGCCACGTAATAGGCTCTCCTTCAGCCCTGCCTTGGCGAAAATGATCCCACCATTCAGCAGCAGGTCCATGCAACTGATGCAAAGCAAAAGAAACTTTCTCCTGCTCAGTACACTAGATCAAATCCAACTTCTTCTCCACCGCATGCAACCAATCTCCTGCTTCTACTGGATTGGTGGTGCTGGAAAAGGTAGGGGGTCTCACACGTAAGAAATCGGCCAACTTGTTTTGGGGAGGTGGGGGTGGATTCTGGTTTTGATTATTTGCCTGCTGATTCTGTGCCTGCTGCACTAACAGATTGATCAATTGTGTCTGTTGGGCCAGAATCTGAGCTAGCGTGGGATCTCCTTCATTGTTAGTAGCTCCACTACCACTTCCACTTCCACTTCCGGTGCGCGTGTTCACCATCTGACGATAAGCAGAGACAACAAGAAAGAACGACAGAGAGACACCCTTAGAACGAAGTTATTTAATTAATTTAAATTCTATATTGCTCTTAACTGTGTATGATTACATTTAAGTTGCATTAACACTATCTCACCAACTATCGTACACTCTGACAAGCAAAAGAACTAGACTCATGCTGTTACATCCCACCCATGATGTAAACAACAACTAAAACCCACACACTCACAAGCAAACTTAAACAAGCAATCTATCACAACGAACTACGGCAACGATCTAACTGAGCGACTACTTCCGCCTTGCGTCGGAACGAAGCGATGGATCTTCTTCCTCTGGAGTAGCTGGCTCTCTTTCTTCAGGGTCTTCCTCTTCTTCCTCATCACTTATGATGTCGATGACAGGTTCAGCATGATCGGGCACAGCTTCGCCCATCACGCGAATCTTCGAAGCTAACTGGAGACGAGGTGGCGGACAGGTTCTCTTTCTTGCGGTGAGGCGAAGCTTGGGTGTTGGCGGCGGCGTTTCTCCTTTAAGTTCAGCTAATTCCTTCTGTAGACGGTACACCTTGCTCTTCAACTTGCAAATCTTACCTTGATTCCAGTTTTCCCTATCATGAGCTGCTTTGTCTCGCTCCACACTTACTGCATCCATAGCACTAAGCATATGCACCGCATGCATCAGAGTGGCACTCTCTTCGCCATCAGGACAGATATAGGTTCCATAGTCTTGACCATGAGGTTTGTGAGGATGATACTGGAAAGCTGATGAATCCAACTCTTCTTCAAAGCGTTGACGCAACTCTCCAATGGCCACCAAAGCTGCTTCTTGACAAGCATGGCAGTACGATCTTCCCCCAGCTTCGAACTTAAAAGACGGAAGGTCTTCGCTATCACTAGCCAACGTCACACGAACACGACACTTCTCTTCGTCGGGGTCATGGGAAATCTGGCGATACTCAGGAGCAACTTCATAGCCTACTTCAAAAGCCATCAACCTCAGCTCCCTGACGAATCCTAACACCTCGATCAAATTTCTCGGTGAATGGGGAGGCATCTAAAGAGACATAGAAGAGGAATTAAAGCATATTTTAAGTTAGCTGCACCAACTAGACTTAACTGATTTTGACCAAAAAGGAAGAAAATAAAAGATAAGACGCATACCAAGCTATTATATAAATATGTTTTTAGAATTTTACTTTTTGGACAGAGACAAATATATTTTTGACAAATAATTAAAATAAAACTATAATAATTATGATCTATTATAAGCACGGTACAGTATCACCATAGGAAAGATGAGTAGTACTAGTGCTAACATGATTAAATCGATACCCTAATAAATGTACAGTGCCGACTAATCAATAGGATTTGGTAAAGAGAAAAAGAAACATTTTGAAAAGAACAACTTTTTGTTTTTAAAAGAAAAGAAATTGAATTAAATAAATTTTGTGCATAACCTTGCATGTGCTGCCAACTTAAATAATTTATAAAAGAATAGAGAAGAGCAGTTCTATATTTTTCAAAATATTTTGAAGGCTACTTAAGGTTTACCATTGGCTTATCCTAAGGTCAAGGTGGCTCTGATACCAACTTGTCACGCCCGGAATTTCTATCCAAAATTCCAAACGCTTACATGTGTGTTAAACCCTCGTCCAGGAATCAACCGAGGCACACAATGACAATATTGATAATAGAGTACAAATAATTAACTATCGAATATTCGAAAAATTAAAATTATTACAGAGGTAGATAGTTCCTCTCAAAACAAATAACATTCTACGCAGCGGAAAACAAAACTATAACAAACTACGGAACAGCTATGGCGACTCCACTCCACAGGCATCTTAACCGAGAACAAGCCTAATCCTCCTGATCTTCACCTTCACTGAAATACTCCTCTTCTGATGAATGAATATTGCAAGAATGAGCATATAACATACTCAACAAGCCACACAGCAAATATGCAAGTGCACAGGATAACAAAGGATGGCATAAAACAGCTCATTTGCAGAAAACAGCATTTAACAAATATTTAAGAGAATAGTAAAACAGTTGAATAATTAACCAATATTAAATAAACACCATACAACACACCCGTGTTGCATAGGCCCAACCACATTTGAACAACCAACCCCAGTTGAACAAATGAAACCTCCAAACCAGGAATTAACCATTCCAAACCAGGAATTAAATTAATTATCATATCATTACCATTGATGAGTAGTGTGAGACTAATCACGAAAAACATTGCTCAACTCACCCATAACCGCGGGTACGGCTATTCGAATAGATTAAACTCTGATCAGAGGTGTACCACTGTACCCACAAGACACAACCCCACATCATGTCACCATGTGCCTCAATACCACCACGGTACCTCGGAAAGGAGTCGTGACAATACCCCTCGCACAACATAACCCATTACAGCGCACCTTTCCTGGATCATAATCACCCCCTTATAAACAAGGTATGGACTCCCCAGCGACCCCCACGGACTTCTCGCCGTTTCACAGTCTGGCGCACTATAATGAATCACGCTATACAAAAGATAAAGCCGTTGCCCACGCTGGCTTGTGGTTGGCACGATAAATGTTTCACAACAGTAGCTCGCGAACCGGTCCTTAATTGTCATGAGCACAACCATCAAAACCATATGCTCACAACCCACCTTAACCAGGTTTTAATTATCAATTAATTAACATCACACGATTTACCATCGTGAGCTACCATTGAATATAACCTTAATTAATAATAATTATGTAATATAGTTTATATTTAACCCCTTTTAGTTAGCTAATGTTTCTAAGCATGGCTAAGCAAACCTATATATAGCATTTAGCTGAACCAATCCAATATATAAGGTTCATGCTAATCAAATTATAACCCATAGGAAAATCAAGTCAGCTTCGGCCATTAATTAACTGGGAAAGGTTCACCACCCGATGACATTTGAAAACAATGCACAGTTGAAATAAAATAATAGCTTTAAACGGGTTCAACATGCTCAAAGGGTTGTTTGGGATCTGTGTGACTTGCCTTGGGCTTCCGCAAACGCTTCGGAACCTTCCTCAACGGAAACGCTCTCCTCCGGAACGTCGGAAACTAAAGCAAATAAACAAAATCAACAAAACAGTACAAAAACAAGCATAAACAGTACATGTGGATACTTTTAACATGTAGATCTTGATTTTAGAAAAATTTAGAAACTTGAACCACCTAAAACGGATCTACGGTTATTTAGTTATGATTTTCCAAAGTTTTAATCTATTAGAAAATCGGAAAAAAGAAAAAGAAAAAGAGACGATGACGTCATGCTGACGTCAGCCCTGATGACGTCATGCTGACGTCGGCAATGGCGGCCGGCTCGGGTTGGAGAGCTCGCCGGAGCTAGGACGGTCGGCCGCGGAATCGGAGGGCATCTACGCGTAGAGGACATCGAGATGAACCCGATGGTACTCACCACGACAACAAACGGTGCACGACGGCGGCCGGCGACGAGAAGAGGCGGCGCGGCGGCTCGGGTCGACGGCGGCGAACGAGCTCCGGTGGTCGGCGGCGATGGAGAAGGGGCGGCCGAGGTTCCTCACCTCCGTGTGCACCTAACGGTGGCGACGGCAAGCGGCGGCGACGGCGGAGACGGCGGCGCGACGCGACCGAAGACGGCCGGCGGCGGCGGCGGACTTGGCGCACGTGGCGACGGCGCTACGATGCACGGGAGAGGACGAGAGAGGGGGCAAACGGAAGAGGACGACGAGAGGATGCTATATATAGCATCGGATTGAAGAGATCGAACTCCAAACGAGAGGAATCGACTCGGGAAGAAATCAAACTCGGTTTTTAGGGATAAAATCAAAACGAACTCGATTCGGATCAAATCCTCAACGATTCGCTTCGATTCTTGGGGGAAAAGAAAGAGGAGAACGAGAGGAACAAAACCCCTCAAAAACCCGGAGGATTCGGGCTCGGATTGAGGAGGATCGGAGGTGGAAGACGGCGGCTCGGGCTCGGCTTGGCGGCGGCGGCCGGAGGTTGAAGATGGCCCTGACATGTGGGCCCCACATGTCAGCGGCTGGAGGAGGAGGGGGCGGGCGGCTTGGCTTGGGCCGGCATGGGCCGGTTCGGCCGCGCGGAGAGAGAGGGAGTATTGGGCCGAATTCGGCCCAATGACCAAAGAAGGGGTTTTTTGAACTTTTTCAAAAAAAACAATTTGTGAAATGTTGTTTATTAAAAATACTTCCCTTGCTCAAATAATTCCCAGAAAATTCTAGAAAATAGAGGAGCAAGCATAGTATTTAATAAAATTTTATCTAGCTCATTTTTATGTTGAAAATTTTCCTAGAAAATTAGGGTTTAGCTTGTAGGCTTTTAATTTAATTTCTAAAAATGATTTAAAATATGCATTTTTAATTTTAGTCGATTTTTAGGGCGTGACAGTTCCCTGGCTTCGTGCCTCTCTTCGGTTAGTCTGTCAGTGTAGAGTGTTGGTTTCAGATTGTCAGTCTGCATGTAACTTACTAGAACTGTTAGTCTGCAGTCTTGTCTTTAAATTAGCACTGATGATTGGTAGTCTTGTTTAGGACTGATGATTGCATTAGCAAATTGGCATTGCAATCAGTGTAATCTTTTTATTCCGATTTATTCATAGTATGCATATTTATGTAATCTTATTCAATTTGTATAAAGCAATTCTTATGTAAATCCTATTCAATTTGTACAAAGCAATTCAAGGCCCTATTTATTCAATAAAATTATCAGACTTTTTTCAGCTTGGTGAGTCCTGCTTCATGAGTGCTTGTTTGTTAATCTTCAGGAAAAGGGTATAGTTTTGCGATTTGAGGATTCTTACCTTGATTCTAAGCATATACCAAGAAAATGAAATACAGAGTGATCTCAAAAAGGAAAAACAGAAGGGAGAATCTGAGTTTAGGTTGTTTCAGACAATAGACTCATTTGTCAGAATCTGAGTTTTTGTCTGAAAATAGAGTTACAGACTTTATACACTTTCATTTATCATATATGGAGCCTTTGTTTAACGAAAAAGAGAGAAGTGTTAGTTCTTTTTTGTTTGTTTGTTTGGACTCCTCAGTAAGTGGCAATTTAGTTTTCATCAACTCTCAGTTCTTCTGGAGTACAGTAGTATCCTTAAATACTTCGTGTCCTGTTTTGCAATATTCAGAATCATATCAGGACTTCTTTTGTAAGGATAGTTAACTGGAAAGTGTTATGCCCCTTAAGATCATAGTTAGTTTGGAGGTCAGTATTCTTTTAGTGAACTGAAGCATAAAACAAGTGGCTATAACACTGAACATCATCAGCTTCTTCAGACGACATGGAGCGATGCATTTTGGTCAGGAACAGGAACTTCCATCTTGATTCTTGAATGTAAAAACTGTAGTTCATCCAATTAGTACCATGATCTGGCAGCTTGGAATACATGGTCACAGGCTCACAACCCACAGGATCCTGCACACCACCTATTCTGTCTGTCAGTCTGTAACTTACGCCGTGTTTAGTTCCAAAGTTTTTCTTCAAACTTCCAACTTTTCCATCACATCAAAACTTTCCTACACATACAAACTTCCAACTTTTCTGTCACATCGTTCCAATTTCAACCAAACTTCCAATTTTGGTGTGAACTAAACTCTTCTTAGGAGTGATGATTGCATTAGGCCATTAGCACATTGGAACTGCAGTCAGTGTAATCTTAATATCTTATACTTCAGATTATCCATCGCAAGCATATTTATATAATCCAATTCATGTTCAGAAAATTTTGTAGAAAGCCATTCAAGTCCATCTTTGTTTCAGAAATTATCAGCTAATTGAGTGCTGCAGCATGATTGCTTGTTTGTTAATTTTCAGAAAAAGAGACTTGGCTAGTAGTTTGTGAATTCTAAGCATATACCTGTAAAAGGTAAAACAGAGCGATGATGTGAAAAAAGAAAAAGGAATAGGAAAAAAAACAGAATCTATGCCAATGGAATATTTAGGTTACTTAAGAAATAGACACATTTTCTGGAATCTAAGTTTTCGTCTAAAAAAATAGAGTAAAAGGCTTCTAGACTTCCATTTATCCTATGTGCAGATTTTCGTTTACAAAAGAGAGAGAGAGAGAGAGAGCGCGAGCGAGAATATTAGTTTTTTTTGTTTGGACTTTGGACGCCCCTTTAGTAACTGACAAGTTGGTTTTCCTCAACTGCCAGCTCTTGCTTTGAGTACAGTAGTACTCCTAAATACTTCTGTCTTTTTCGATAATGAAATACTTCTGTCTAATACCCAACCAAGAAAACAAGATGTTCTACAAAGGCAAGATGAGCAGTAGGGATTAGGGAGTGATCTTTTATGACTTTATCGCCTGTCATGATCTATTTGTCCAAGCTAAAACTAATTACAAAGAAACCACCCTTACTTCTAACTCATATATTTGTTTCTCAATTGTTGCTGCACTTTTACGTATCAGGATGCTGCAAACAGAAAAGCAGTAGTTTCAGGATGATGTTATAAGAACGCAATAGAATCAGAGTCATCCACCGCGGCATTAGCAGATTTACTAGTATATGATCTGTCTGTAACTTTGTAATATTGGTACTCTTGTCTTAAGATTGATGATTGCATTAGAACATCGGCATTGCAATCAATGTAATTCTGTTCTTCTGATTATTCATAAGAAGCATATATACGAAATCTTATTCATGTTCAGACAAATTTGTATAAGTATTGCTCAAGGCCAACATCATTAGCTTCTTCAGATATTTAAGATTGATCCGAGAGACAAATCCCGCTCATGCTGCCTCTGCTTAATTAATTAATTAATTAATTAACAATCTCTTCTGCTGCTTCCTTAATTTACCTACTGCTGCTACTATTGATCGATCGATCTATATCTATCTTGTTGGCAATCTATCCCTCTATCTATGTAGGTATATATACATATTACTCTATTTGCAGAGGAGTTGTAGTTGTTTGGGTCATCAAATCATACCACTAACTGTTTAATAATCAACTCTTATCATTGACCTGAGACCGTTGCTGGGTGTATATGTAAGGACTAAATGATGAGTTCCAATCCATACTTGTATATATGTGTGTGAAGAAAAGACGTTCTTTCTAACTGCTCGCTCGCTCTGCCATCTGCAATCCACCATGCTGCACCATTTTCATTTTGCTTTCTACCTGATCGATCAATGTAATGTATTACCAACTCCCTGCACTAATTATAGACTCCTCCGTCGTTACCCTAAATGTCCTCCCAAATTTCAGCTCTGTATTGTATTACTTCAGCATTCTGAAAGTTTCAGAGATTCAGAGACGCCATTCCAACCCACTACCTGAACATTCATCACGCCAGCTGATCCCGGGGAGCTACAAATCATTTCATCACACTCCATGTAGTAATCAACACTTAATTTTGGGCAGAATTTCCCTTCTTCCAAAATTTATTTATCAGGATAACATTACTCATAAACCATATTCATATATTCTCTTGAGAATATTACATGCCATTCGCTTTAGTTAAGGAAAGGGCATACCACAGCACTCATATCATCAGGCAAAACATCCAATTCATGTGCAAGCACAACGGTACAGAAAAGTCTTAGCCAACACAAACAACAAACGACATACTACTGTACATATAGATCCCATTTTGTACAAACCGTTCCATATTAACTTGAAGGAGCACAACCCTCCCGATAACGAAAACTCAGCACCAAATCATTTTCTCAAAACATCACTTGTAACTTTGGGTGCTGAACAGATACGACACATGGCATTGATAGGCTTGCATTGTTGTTACATGGTGTGATGCTTTAATTGAGGTAAATCTGTAGAGCGGATCATGATCTACACGATGGAAGAGAAAGGCCTCCACAGAAAGCAGCGATGATCAAGTAAAGTAGAAGTACTATGACAGCTGTCAACACAGCACTGCAACAACGCAGGACAAAATATGTCAGATGCTGTCAAAAATGTTATTAGTACTGTAGATCTTAGAGTCATCATAATAAATAAAGGGTTGGATCTTATACATATAATGTATGGCAATCAGCAACCAAACACACAGTTTTCTAGATCCTTAAAAAAAAACTAGTAGTATTTCGTTATGCCTGCTATTAATCACCAATTCTTTCAAACCCCAGCAAAAACAGAATAGCAATAGCCCATTGTTCTCAAACTCAATGATACACCAGCTTATTCCATTCAACAAGGGTCACTGAGTGATATATAGTTATACACTTATCCAACATGTCTATTCAACAATAATGACCAACCGAAGGCACATGATTACATAATTTTGGACTAGCAAAGAAATTGCAGCTTCATCATTGTGCAGAGTGTGCTCATTTAAACATGCACTCCTGAATTCTTAGGAGATACTATCGCGCAAAATGGTATTTCCACTGATGAATAAAGCTCTTTAGACTTGGCCTCAGAAAAGGAAATTGCAGCTTTGTTGGCTCTAAACTTTTGTGATTATACATTCATTCAGGCTGAATTCAGGATTTGGTAAACTATAACTGGCAGGAAAAAAAGGGAATAACAAATGTCCATGGCTAAGTACCAATCTCGAAGGGCCTTATAACATCAATCAGGACTTGTCATTAGGGAGTAACTTGTAACAAATGAACTTGAGTGCAGGACTGACCACTAGTTAATGGGTACTGTCAGTGAGTGGTAAAGAAGAGAAGAGATAGATAGTACAGTAGTAAGCAAGAAAGAAAGAAAGAAAGGGTGACTTACAGAAGCTTGGCATTTTTCATCCAAAGAGCTCTCCTGAGCCTCCTGGATTGCTTGCGGAAGTGGAAAGCACTGTCTTGCATGGTGGAGGTCTTGTCGACGAGTAGCGAGATGCGCTCACCTCTGTCGAGAATCTTCTCAATGTTGTCAACCATGACAGTATGTATCTGCACAATGCAAGTTGGAAGAATGAGCATTTGATTGTAGAGCAAAAATGAAAGGAAATTGTGTGGAAGGCAATAAATAAATAGGATACTTGCCTCACTGACTTCCCCACGGAGACGGTTGAGTGTGTCGGCGCTGGGGTTGCTGGAGAAGTACTCCATTTGCTGATGGAGGACCCTAGAGAACTCATCGTTCATGGCATAGGCGAGCGCATTATGGGCGATTCTGCCATAGTTCTTGATGAACCTCATTTGGATGTCCTCGAGGTAAAGAAAGGGAATTCGTCCTGTAATTAATTATACAACAAGTGATGCTCTATCATACTAGTATGTCTGGATTTCGCTGGCTCGCTACTAATAGAGTAGTAACAGTAAAATAGTTGTATGAAAGGAACATAAATGAATAAGTACATGCAAAAATGCCTAAATTAGCTAATGAAGCAATACAGTTTACCATCTTGAATGAATGAAGAACATACTAAGAAGATGAATGAACGAATCCATCTTATCCTATCCATAGATCATATAGATTAGTAGAGTAATACTAGTAAGTATAAGAGAGTTTGTACTTCCGAAGGTGTCGTTGGCCATGCAGAGGAAGGTGAGGCCATCGGCGGCGGCGGGGGGAGGGGAGCGGAGGACGTGGAAGATGTAGCGGTCCTGCGCGAAGCAGAGGCGCGACTCGGCGTCGGGCGGAAGCTTCTCGAGGATGCGGCGGGCGACGGCGCCGGCGTTCCCGGAGACGGCAGAGAACTCGGCGAGAACCACGGTGCCACGCGCCACCACCGCGTAAACGATCGCCATGGATTCTAGATCCAACAACTTAGGCTTGGATAGTTGAATTGATCTGATTGATTTGGGGTTGGGGTTGGGCGGCGAGCTCGGCGGCCGGCGCGGGATGCGAGCTTGGCGGCGGCGGCGAGCCCGGAGGCTGGAGGGTTCCGCCGCCCCGACGAGGTCGTCCTTGTAACCGGCAAGCGAGGAGACGGGGCGGCGACCGGCGAGCAACGAGATTCGATGGATGGATTAGGGGGGTTTGGATCGAGATTTTTCAGAATTTGCCACTTCAGGATATGCCATCCAATTCGTACTATTTTCAGAATATGCCACTGGGATGCGAATTTTCTTCGTTATGTACCACTCCGTCCACTGACGTCACTCCTCGTCCTCGTCTGTCCGTCTGCCGCCCCGTCTATCCGCCGACGCCGCCGCTCGTGTCCCCGTCCATCCGTTGGCGCCACCACCGCGTCCCCGTCAATCCGCCACCGGTCGTGTCAGTCGCGTCGTCCATCCGTCCGCGTTCCCGTCCATCCACCGGTGTCGCCGGTCGTGTCAGCCACGCCGTCCGTCCATCCGCCGCCGCAGCAACATCCTGCTCAAAGTCGCGGTGGTCGAGGATCTTGCGGCGGAGGTCGTAATCGAGCGAGTCGAGGAGGCCGACCCAGCTATCCTCCCCGTGGATTCGGCGAAGAGCTGCCGAGTCCGACTGTCGCCGTCGGTGGCACCGGTGGACGGGTGTCACACCCTAAAAATTCAAAAAAAATATAAATTGTTGTTTAAATGGAATTTCTAGAATTTATTTTAAAAGTCTTGAAAAGAAAATCTAAGTTTAATAATAAATTCCAATATAAAATGGGGCCAGATAAAATTTCATTAAATACTTTGCTTAATTCTATAATTCCTAGATTTTTCTGGGATTTATTTGAGCTAAGGAAGTATTTTTAATAAATAGAATTGCATTTAAGAAATAATTTAAATTGAAAAAGTTTTAAAAAGTTCTCTTTTGGGCTTTGGGCCGAAAGTCGGCCCAAAACCTTCTCTCTCTCCCCGGCCCAAGTCGGCCCAGTTCGCAGCCGCCCGCGCGCGCGCGCGTTCAGTCGCTGACAGGTGGGTCCCACCTGTCAGGCCCGTCGTCTTCCTCGGGCCGAAACCCTAGCGCGCCGCCGCCGAGCCGCCGCCGCTGTTTCCTTCCAATCCGGCCGCCCCTTTCCTTCTCCGGCCAAATCAATAGAGAGGAAATGATCCTCGGGATCTCCTCTACCTTTTCTCCTTTGGAATCTTTGGCTAAATCGGTTTGGAAATCGAGGGATTCGAGTTCGTCTCGGATTCGACTTTCCCGAACCTTCCTTCCTCGTCGCCGGTCGCCGTGGGCCTTCGCCTTCGCCTCCGAGCCCCTTTAAAAGGTTCCCCGTGGTCTCCTCTACCCGCCGCCACCCTCACCTTCGCCTCTCGTCGCCGGAGTCGCCCTAGCGCCGTGTGCCCTAGCTTCGCCGCCGCTCCAGCCGTGCGCCGCCGTCGTTCCAGCCGTCGCCATCGCTCGGGAAGGCCGCCGTCGTGTTCGCCGTCGCGTCGCCGTCCTCGTCCGCCCCTTCGCCGTCGCCGAAGACCGCCGGAGCGTCATCGCCGCCGTCGACCCGAAGAGCTTCGCCGCTTCCTCCTCGTCGCCGTCGCCATCCGTTGATCTTCCGCCGTCGTTTTGGTCGCCGGTGAGTTCGCCGTGCCGCCCGCTTCGTCCTGGTGCCTTCCGTTTGCGTCCTCGCGCCGTCGTTCGCCGGCGAGCGTGCGCCGCCCGAGCCGGCCCAGCCGCCCGAGCCGCCGCCGCCGGGGTGACGTCATCGCTGACGCCATCAAGTTCGTCCTCCGTGAGCCGCCGTGGACCCGATCGATCTCGGCCGTCCATCTTGGATTGGTTTGATCTCGGCCGTCCGTTCGCGTGAACCGTCGCCCGTGCGCCCGGTCCACCGAAACCCTAGCCGCTGACGCAATAAACCATCTTTTCCTTTTCAAAAATAATTCATTATTGCGTCATAATTCAATTTAAACCGATTTAAGTGTTTTAATCCGATTTAATCTTTAAAAATTCATAACTAATTCATCTTAGCTCCAATTTAGTTGGTTCAAGTCTCTAAATTTTTCTAAAATTGAGATCTACACATTAAAAATATCCACATGTACTGTTCATGCTTGTTTATGTGCTGTTTTGGTGATTTTGCTTCTTTCTGCTTAGATTCCGTCGTTTCCGGAGAGTCCGTTTTCGCCGGAGAAGAGTTTGAAGAGTTCCAAGGCCAGCAAGGCAAGTCACACAGATCCCAAACAACCCTTTGAGCATGTTGATCCTATTTAAAGCTATTGTTTCCTTTCAACTATTGCATTTATTTTCGAATGTCATTGGGTGGAATTAACCTATTCTTTGTTATGGCCCTCTTGTTCTTGATTACTTTATTCCTTGATACCTTGGGTTATAATAATTTGACTGGTTGAACTTTATTTATATTGGTTCAACTAGATATTAGGTATAATTGCTTAGCCCTGCTTAGAAACATTAGCTCACTATTGGGATAACTTATGATTCACTGTTATTTAATGATGGCTTAATGATAATTCACGATGGTTAATTGTGATTAGTTGATTAATTAATGTGCCAACTAAAACCTGGTAATGGTGGGTTGTGAGCACATGGTTTTGATGGTCGTGCTCATGACAATTAAGGACCGGTTCACGAGTTTCGGTTGTGAAACATTTATCGTGCCAACCATAAGCCAGCATGGGCAACGGCTTTATCTTTTGTATAGCATGGTTCATTGCGGGGCACCAGACTGAGAAGTGGCGAAGATAAGCCCACGGGGGTCGCTGGGGAGTCCATGCCTTGTTTATAAGGGGGTGATTATGATCCAGGAAAGGTGCGCTGTAGTGGATTGTATTATGCGAGGGGTATTGTCACAACTCCTTTCCGAGGTACCGCGGTGGTATTGAGGCACATGGTGACATGATGTGGGGTTGTGTCTTGTGGGTACAGTGGTACACCTCTGATCAGAGTAAAACTATTCGAATAGCCGTGCCCGCGGTTATGGGCGGGTCGAACAATGTCTTTCGTGATTAGTTACACACTTCTCACCATAGTAATGATGTTATAATTGGTAATAATTTGATTAGCTCCTGGTTTGGAATGGTATATTCCTGGTTTGGAGATAGAACTGTACAGCCGGGATGGTTGTCCAGAATGGTTGGGCCTATACAACAGGGTATGTTGTATAGCGTTGGATTAATATTGCTTAATTAATACTTAACTGTTTTAAATTCCCAAATGTTTGCTAAATGCTGCTTTTGCAAATGGAGCCCTATTATGCCATTCTTTGTTATCCTGTGCATTTGCATATTTGCTGCGTGGCTTGCTGAGTATGTCATATACTCACCTTGCAATCATTCATCAGAGGAAGAGTTCTACTATGAGGCTGATGGAGTGGAGGATTAGGTGTAGCCTTGGTCAAGCTGCCTGTGGAGTGGAGTCGTCCGCGCCGTTTTTATTTTCCGCTGCTTAGATTTTTATTGATTGAGAGGAACTATCTACCTCTGTAATAACATTTTATTCGCTTATTAATTAGAGTAATAATTGTACTCTATTATCAATTTGTTATTGTGTGCCTCGGCTGATTCCTGGACGAGGGTTTACACACATGTAAGCGTTTGGAATTTTGGATAGAAATTCCGGGCGTGACAAGTTGGTATCAGAGCCCCCTTGACCCTAGGTTATGCCAAATGGTTACCCATAGAAGCCCTCTAAAAATACTGGAAAAGTAGAACTGTTCTCCTCCCTTTCTCTTTTAATTAAACCAAACTAATGGCACATGCACTTCATAATCTCTTTTAATGGTTCTCATTCAAAATTTATTCCAGTGTTATTAGTACTGTACATCTATTACTGTACTAATGGCTCATTTTACTAGCAAAAGTTTTACAATGTTGTTTTATTTAATCTTGCTGCAATAAAATAAATTTAGCAAGTTGATTTTATAACTTGATTTCATTTCTTTTGAAACCTGTTATTCAAAAATACAAAACTTGTGACCTCGTTTTCAACTGTTTCAACTTATCTTGCAAGCTTGGTTTACTTTATTTTACTTACCTTTTACTTTGATTTTCTAAACTTTATTCAAATTAATCCAAAAGCTTGTGCTATTAATTGGATAAATGTCTTAACTCCCTCCTTTCACTTGTCTTTAGATGCCGCGCTACAAGCCTGAGTATCTTTTTGGTGTTGAGGGTTTTGTCCAGGAGTTGCGTACGATGTCCTTTGTCATTGGATTTGGGACTGTCCCTTTTTATGCCCAGATTCGTCATGATCGTCATGAAGAGAAGTGCCGAGTCAAAGTCACCTTGAACAGTAATAGTGAAGATATTCCCTCAGTGATGTTCGAAGCTGGAGGAAGAAACTACATCCATGCATGTCAGGAGGTGGCAAGGATCGCCATAGGAGAGCTCCGTGATCGCTACAGTGATCAGTTGGCCGACACTGAGTATCGCTACCATCCTCGCCAACCCCAGGGAAGTGACCGTGGAGACTGAAGGAATTGAGAATGATGCTACCACAAGGCATTTGGTTGAGATGCTGTGGGCCATGGATGAAAGTCGTGCAGAGACTGTGTTAGCAGCTCAAGATCGTGAAGATCGGAATCGTGGTAAGATTTGCAAGTTAGAAGACAAGGTGGATCGTTTGGAGAAGGAATTAGCCGCATTGAAGGGAGAAGCACCACCTCAGAAGGCCAGGATTCGTCTTACCGCAAGGAAGAGAGCTTTATTTGTCCCTCGCTATCAATTGGCGCCAAAGGTTCGTGTGGTGGAGAAAGAAGTTGCCCCAGCAGATCCTCCGGTCATCATCATAAGTAGTGATGAAGAAGAAGAATCCAAGCGCAACTGTTCCAAGATTGAGTGGGTAGCAACCCAAGATGATGAAGACGAGCCGAACGAGCCTTCAATCGACCTCCGATGCTCGGAAGAACTAGAGTGACTTGTTAAGCCGTTGTCTTAGATCGTTGTGTTAGTTTGCTTGTTTTAAGTTTGGTTGTGTGTGTGTGGGTCTTGCATGTGATTTACATCAGTGGTGGGATGTAAGTACATGTGTTTGTTTGCTTTTTGAGTGTTAGGAAGTTGGTGAGTTTAGTGGTGTGTGAGTTTTCAGTTTGTAATAATGAAACTTAGTTAAGATCAATAAAAGTTAAAGTAATTCTCTGCCCTAAGTAGTTTTCCCCCGGTTTCTCTTCTTGT